TTCCTGTTTCTAATTTCGGATGTAAAGTATGAATATATAAAACTATTTCCAATCTTCTAAAAGATAAAGTAGTATTAACCTATTAGAAGATAAATAGATAGTTATTGAATCTAATTTATGGAATCTGTAGAACTTTGTGAGTGTATCATAAATGGAAACACGTAATTATTATATGGTATTTGTATTTAGATTAATATCGTTATAATATTGAATTAATTAAGAAGACAAATATACACTATTATAAAATTGTCCTCTTCAACGATGGAGCTAAGAAGCATTTTTTGTTAAAGGAATTTGCTAAACATTTTTTAAATACTTAATTTACTAATCATAGGTCACTGAAGATGATAAATTGGATGATTAGTTTTATATATTGAGTGATGAAGCCTTTCCTCGAGGTATACAAATAATACATATTACTGCCCAAGTAACAATTTTAAAATACTTTAAATTTATTTAGGTCTTAAAAGTGCTTTAATATTTTCAATAAAACGATATCGGTTTTAAAGTTACTTTAAGATAAACTAAAAGTTCTTAAAGATTACTTAATCTTATTCAAAGAATTTAACACACTCTAAATTAAAATAAAATAGACTGTTTGCTCTTAATGTCACATTCATCTTATACTGGTTTTATGATACTCTTGACATTGGCTATTTTAAAACTAATAACTATTTTTGATTTTAAAACAATCCATTTTGGACTAAATATTTTTATGGAGTATCCTTGATGTTTTCATTAAAACCCATTAAGAAAACTATTTTATCATAAGCCTACATACTCAATAAAATTCCACATTAAATTCAAAAACATAATTTTACCTAGAGTACATATATGCCGCGTTTGAGAATCCACATCGGATGCATCTGAGATGTTGTGAATTTTTTATCACGTGATAGAGAATTAGATCTGAATGTAGATGTAATAAACAAACGCTCTAGACTTTATTTGGTCAAGTGATAAAATGTCAATGACAAGTTATAAGTTTATACTTTTTAAATTTGACTTTTGAGACTACAAATCAACCTAAATTTGAAATCTAAACAAAAATTAAACAAACTAATCACTTTTATATTCATGCTAGCATAAACAAAGGATAAATTGACAAACTTGGCTTCACAGAACACTTACTTTCTGGCATAGAACGAACATCTCATTTCAAATCGAGATGTACAAAATGTAATCTGAACAGGTACATCTGGGATAAACAAACGCAGATGTAGATGTAGTAGATGTGTCCGATGTAAATAAAAAAACGCTCGAGATATAAAAAATGCATCCGATGTGGATAAAAAAACGCTCGAGATATAAAAAATGCATCCCACAAAGCACATAGAGGTTCCACGTGAATGACCAAGGTCAAAACCGACAACTGACATTTTTTATGCTATTTGCTCCAAACTCTAGATGGGGCTACTGGTGAAATTCTGATTTCTTACTCCATTTTTAAGCTTTATGGGAGAAAAACTTAACCAAAGACTCCAAAGATGTGACGTGTAATTATTTATGTTTTTGGTTAGTCTCATTTTTCCGTCTGATTTTAGTGATTTTTTGTTGGCTTTGGCTTTTGGTTTCTGTTTATAGTTTCGTCTTAGTTATTTGCAAAATTGTGATGTTTCGCTTTTCTATTTGCTACTGTGTTTTGCAATAATTTTGGTGCTACCTGTGGGTGCTACGTTGATAACTTCGAGAATTGATTCACCATGCATCTGCATCATAAAAAGACAAACGGGTACAACAACTAATTGATAATCAATTTATCACTGGACTAGATTCCGAAATCATTTTTTACATAAGAGAGTAATACACAAAGCAGTGGAGTAATACCACTATCTGTATTTGGAAGGCAAATACCTATTTATCATTGAATGAATAGTTAAAAGGATCCACCTTTTAATACAATACCTATATTACATTTGTCCTCGGTTTAAAAGACATTTATAAAATATATTATTTTAGTGTTAATAAAATGTAGTATCCTAGTCTCTACTTCACATTTAAATTATTGATAGGTATTTTAAAGATTTGAGATTGTATACCTATTTGCTGCAAGTAAGTATTCGTTAAATATGTATTATTATTTGTATTTATTTTTATCTAATAATATTTATTTGTTATTAATAAACATATTTTAAGAATGTTCTATTTTATTATTTATTGATATATCTTATATTTATTTAATAATAATATGCAGAACCAACTCTCCACATCATCCCTTGCTTATAACAAATTAATTCCTCAAATTTGGTATAATCGACCTCTATTATTTTGTAAAATAAAAGTTTCGAACTTACTAGTTCCATACTTTATTTTATAAAATAATTTATGTGGAAATCATTTAAAATTTAATTTAAAACTACTACCTACTCCTAAAAATTACAATTTGAATTTACCGCCATCTGTCAATTGTCATTTTAGTTCCAGCTCCAAACACAAGGTGGTGCTAATTTGGTTTAAAAGTTTAACATTGGCGTGGGGTCTCTAGAAGATACGTGCTTTGTGATGCATCCGATGTGGATTCTCAAATGCGGCATAAGAATATTTTAAAAGTTGGTTAAAATAAATGCCTTGTGGATTTTTGACGACTTTATTAAAACTAATTCTATCTCCTCCACATTAAGAAAAAATTCCATCTTTTCAATAAGCTAATTTAGTGAAGCAATGCAGTCTGCGTGTACATACTTTATGTGTGAAAAAAAAATAGAACACATATTTACAATGGAAAATATTAGCGACAAGTATTTTAAATTAAAACTGGATTAAAACTGAACGACATACAATGTGTTAACTTTTCAATCCTGGCTCCAGGAGAAAGGTATAGAAACATAATGGTATTGAATAGAGATAAATAGAATAGCACCTCGTCGACTGCGGGTCGCAATATTCCATCCTGGCTGTCGAAAGGTATTACTCTCTTTATTTATTTATTTTAATAATACATTACAGAAAATAAATTCCTAGTATATATACAAAAAAAAAAAAAATTAAAAAGGGAAAATTGTATAAAACACTCATAAACTAGACATATATTTCACTAAAAATACAAGTAATAGTTACAGTAAATAAATATGTTGAGACACCACTGAACTCAAGTGTTCTTATTGGAATATGAACGTTAATATTAAAAATTTCACAATCGGAAAAGAATTTATTAAAATTTTGTCAAAGTCGACCAATTTAAGCTTTTTGTCCATAGTTGGTTTGATGTATTCTTACTGGAAACAGGGAGGAGTGTCGTATGCGCCTGGTAGGCACCAGAAAATTGATTTGCTGTAACAGGGAATCACAACACATCGTCCAATTCAACAGCTTAAAATGGAATAGAAGAGATTGTTTCCTTCTATCTTCTAGGTATAGACCGCAAAGCATTACTCTCGTTTCATAGCAGATATCTTGATATGGAAACCGAAATTTGAATATAAGATATTTAACGAACTTGCGCTGTACCCTTTCTATCCTATTTATGTCACATGTGTAATTGGGTAAACAGATTACAGAACAGTATTCTAGAATGCTTCTGACTAAACAGTTATATTCGCTCCGTGCGCGACAGCAGCGTCAATTGGTTTTGGTACTAATGGGCTATTTCTGCGTATACTGACAAATACAATTTTGAATAGAATTCGTAATTAAAAAGTATATGTTAGTTTTAATAAAAGTATATGGATTTGTAAAACAAGTAAAACATTATTTATTATTATTATATATTTTTATCGCTTAAATTAAAGAAAATTATGTATAATCAATAAAAATCAATATTAAAATATAGACAGGCAACAGTATTTACTGGAAAATGTATGAGAAGTTGCCTAAGTTTAATAAGTTGTCTTTGAAGAATCCAACCAAATAAAAAAATACCATTAAATAATAGCGTGAAGTTAAAATGTATAAAAGAAGGATCGTTATTTATATTTTCATTTTTGTTCGAAAAAAAAAACAGAATGAATGATTAAAACTGGTTTCCCATCAGTAAGTCACAAAATTGCATTCCAGCCATATATAATAAATAACCAAAGGCAGAAATCTTGAAATCTAGTCCTTGCCGAATGAACATTTAAGAAAAACGGGATATTAAAGAACATCGTAAAATGATAGTTTATTGTTTATTTAAAACCTTTCAAGTTTCTGATGTCTACTATTTCCAGCATTACTGGTATTATTACAAAAATAAAGGTAATTTTCCTTCTTATTGTACACCTATCCATTTATTTCTTTCATTTAATTGCCACTTTGCTACTGAATTTTTTTTTATATAAGTTTCACTGTTTTTTTTGCTAGTATTTGTACAATTTTCAACACAGCAACTCCGGTTGCTTATTGTATTGTTTTTACCTACTTTTTTGAAAAAAAGTAAAATGTATACGTGTATTTGATATGCCAAAATTACAAAATATCGCCCTAAAATGCACGAATTATCCGCAGCTAGCGCTAGTATCGCTTTTGCTTCCCTTTCCATGACTTCGCACGGAGCGAATAGGGATGTAATAGCCTTAGTGTCGTTTATGTCATGTTAGTGACATTTAATAAAACCAAGAATTCTAAAAGCTTTGCAAAAGATAGAGACGATATGCAGGTTAAAGGATAAACTTGTGTCAAAGATGATGATGGGATCGTTTACTGAAGAGGAATTTTTTCATGTCACATTATCGACCTTGTAAGAGTTCAGAATAGGATGATTGGGAAATCTTGTGAAGTGGATTGTAGCACATTTATTGACATTTAGGACAAATGATTTAGTTTGCACCACATGGTGAAGCGATCGAGATCCGATTGTAAGGATAAGTTGTCACTAGTCTATATACTAAAAAAACTTAAGGTCGTCTGCAAATAACAGGCAGTCACTGTTTTGAAAACAATCTGTCGTCGTTCAGAAATAATTTATGCCTCTCAAGTCCAAATATAATTAAGCGTCTTATCTTTATTTTACTTGATGCGTCGGTTAACGTACTGTATATGGTCGCAACATGTGATAATTTATTTAAAATCATTTTTTTTTTCAGATTGCTATAAACGGTCGTCACTTCACAGAATTCCCTCATAGAATTCCCATCTCTGAAGTAAATTATCTCCTTATAGATGGCACCGTAACTATTACTCTTATCTCATGGGAGGGAATGATGGGCCTAGGAGGAACAGAAAGTGCAAGCAAGGCTGCCCAAGTAAATTCTCAAGGTGGCCCGCAATTTGGTGGATATGCTCCTCCTCAAGGACAAGGTGGATATGCTCCTCCTCAAGGACAAGGAGATTATTCTTCACCCCAAGGACAAGGAGGATATTTTCCTCCTCAAGGAGGTTATGCTCCTGCACCTGGGTATGGAGCTCCTCCACAAGGTTATGGACCCCCACTACCACCAGGGGTAAGTAGATATGCAAAATATTTGTATGGTCACTTATTCTATTTAAATTTTTGCTATATAGTAACTTTTTATCTCTTAATTTTTTGAATGCATTTGCCATGCTTAAAATTGAATTCAATTTGTCCAGTGAACCTTAGTTTGGAAAAATTTTTAATATTTGTGTTTTTTGCCTCAGGGACAATGCCAGGTAAGAAAGTATTTTTATATAAAAATAAGTTAGTACAAATGTTGGGCTATTAAAATCACCTAACAGAACACACACATACAAACATGCACACTCCTATAAAAAAATTATAAAAATACTTTTACACCCAGTAACTTGTAGAAAAATATAAATATTTCATTTTGAGTTTATTAGTTAATTTAAATTACAGAAATTAAACACTTAACCAAGTTAACACCATTTATTTCTAAATTTTAATTGTCGCCAGACCTGTCATAAACATCTATTTTCCAGCGCATGTCATTTGTCACATAGATAGGCCAATTAGACATTCCAAACAAAATAGCTGCCTAAGGGCTTTGACAAGGTGATGATATATAGATTGATATGTTTTTCAAAATACCTAACAAGCTAATACCTTGAAGTAAAAATTCAGGCAATTATTTTTTTACTATATTTATAGACTGAAATTTGGTTTTAAAACAAATTTTTGCTAAACCGATTCTGATTAATGAGCACTTGCTAGGCAATATGGCAATCTATATCTCTATATATATCACTGACCCTATCAAAGCCGTCCGCCAGACATTCGGACAGGTCGTTTCAATGCCTAATTGTTTATTTATACATGGTGTTTCAAAAAAAAAAGGTGGGTGGCTCCGTTGCTAGGATAGGTAGAACACGGCAAAATAAGTTGGGTTTGCTCAGTAAAAATTGTTCGTAACTGCATCCGTTTTCGGGATAAAGGGTATTGAAAAACAATTTATACACATTTTTTAAGATTATGTCGAAACTAGTGCCAACATTGTAATTAAATTTTGTACGAATATGTTTTGAAAGGTGACGCATGGCATACATTTGTTTTTATATCTGCCTCTAATAGAGGGCGCTAGTTACACGGTTCGAACGATACACTGTATCTTGAAAACCCAACTTATTTTGCAGTGTTCTACCTATCCTACCAACGGGACCACCTTTTTATGAAATACCCTGTATTGTATTATCTTTATGGCGGGCTTGTGTGTTTTTTGCTATTTTATAATTCAACTCAGAATTACCTATTTTATTTTGAATGTACCTTTTGTTTATTTTTCTTTTGAAACAGATCCAAACTTACGTTACTATCTTTTGAAATTATAACTGCTATTCAGTTTTCTTCGCCATAGAAACTATTGTTAGAAGTTAACAGAATTAACTTCAAAATTATTGTTTTTAAAATGATTTACCACCCTGTATACTATAACACCCTTTATGGCCACTTCATAAAACACGTGTTAACATGGTTTTATAACGTTTTATTAAATATCTCGTAAACAATGTTTGAAATGTAATTAATTAAGGAACAAAATAAAGAATGTCTTTAACGGCATATTGGCTATCACTTCATAGCGTTCGGCTGGTCGAAAGTCAAGTCCCCGCTCTCTCCTGGTCCTGGACACTGCAACGGGCAGACGTGGTATCATCGACCCCAGTGGCGGCGATATCCTAATTCACTGACTCTAACACTATGCAGAGTTGAACTGCCATCGCTGTGGCAGATTAGTAATGGCCATCTCATCTGAAACAAGTACTTTAGTTTTATCAACTCCGATCAGTGACTATATGAGGACGGACTGGTTGTCACTAACCTTGTTATTAAATTTAAATAATGTAGCAGACGCAGACATTCTTTTTGTTCTACGAAAGGTAATTAAGATTACCAAATATCACACAAATAAGTCTGGCAACGCCTAATTGTCTCAATAATTTTTTTAATACAAACTATTTTCAACTACATTAAAACGTAACAATTGAAATATTATAACATTTTTAACATAATGGTTACTTTATCAAGTGTTTAAAATGTGCTCCATTTGTGAGTTGACAGTACCCTAATCGATGGTAGAACACGTCTACCACATTTCTCCATGATTGTTTTATTTATTTAAGACCTTCCAGACTACATAAAATCATAAGTGTTACATATGGTTGAACTCGTATTGAATAGGATATTCCAATAATGACTGAATATACAGGGTGATGAATTTGAAAAAACAAAGTGACTAATAATATAAGAGAAACGGCAAATCTGGCAACATTGCAAATATCAAATCTGGAATCTTCGTATCCCAAAGTAGGTGTACCCCAAATTTTGTACAATTAGGATTAGCAATTTACGAGATAATTGGCCGTTTCCACACTTTTGGGCCACTCCGTATAAAATAGTAGATACGAAAGCAGCTCGTCATGAAGCAACTTTCATGTGCAACATTATATCCGCAGTAATTGAAAATTGAAATAGGCTTAGAAAAAATTATGTCAATTACAACAGACAATTAAAGAAACGTGAAAGCTAGCTGGAATTTACTTGCAGAAAAGTATCGCCATTTATAGATCTAAAAAAGCCCTATTCGCACTTTGTATGGGCCAGTATAAAAAAATCTAAAACTGTCAGCAATAACTTGGTGGAAATCGATTTGTTCAACAACAAAGTTAAGCAAAGTAGCTGTAGAAGTATTAAACTGCCCACCTTCAACTGCTGCCACAGAACGAAGCTTATCAACGTATGGAAATGTCCATACAAATAAAAGAAATCGACTAACAAATGAAAGGGCACAAAAATTGTTTATATCAGACAAAATTTAAATATAGCGGAATGTTTATCCGGTTCATTAGAATCTTCTTTGAACTCTGAATCTGAATATGAATCCGACTGGTCTGAAGTAGATAGCAAAACAACTAGATAAAATAGGAGATTTAGAGATCTCATTTAGTCTAGCTCATTGTGAAATACCAATGTAACATATGCATAATATAATTAATAAAATATAATCTTATTCGCTTCGTGCGCGACAGCAGCGCCAATTCGTTTTTGTACTAATGGACTATTTCTGCGTGTACTGACAAATACAATTTTTAATAGAATTCGTAATTAAAAAGTATATATGTTAGTTTTAACAAAAGTATATGGATTTGTAAAATAAGTAGAACGTTAATTTATTATTATTATATATTTTTATCGCTTAAATTAAAGAAAATTATGTATAATCAATAATAAAATATATGCAGGCCTAAGTTTAATAAGTTGCCATTGAAGAATTAGCATATTCTGTCAAAATAAAAAAATACTATTTAATAAGCGTGAAGTGTTAAAACGTATAAAAAAAGGATCGTTATTTATATTTTTATTTTTGTTCGAAAGAAAACAGAATGAATGATTAAAACTGGTTTCCCATCAGTAAGTCACAAAATTGCATTCCAGCCACATATAATAATCAAAGGCAGAAATCTTGAAATCTAGTCCTTGCTGAATGAACATTTAAGAATAAAGGGATATTAAAGAACATCGTAAAATGATAATTTATTGTTTATTTAAAACTTTTCAAGTTTCTGATGTCTACTATTTCCAGCATTACTGTTATTATTATAAAAATAAAGGTAATTTTTCTTCTTATTGTACAACTATCCATTTATTTCTTTGATTTAATTTCCACTTTGCTACTGAAATTTTTTATATAAGTTTCACTGTTTTTTTTTTGCTAGTATTTTGTACAATTTTCAACACAGCAACTCCGGTTGCTTATTGTATTGTTTTTACCTACTTTTTTGAAAAAAAGTAAAATGTATACGTGTATTTGATATGCCAAAATTACAAAATATCGCCCAAAAATGCACGAACTATCCGCAGCTAGCGCTAGTATCGCTTTTGATTCCCTTTCCATGACTTCGCACGGAGCGAATATAATTCTGATAAAATTAAAATAAATTTTTCTTATACAAAGTACGAGGAACTTAAGTTTTTTTAGATTAAGCACCTCCACATACAATAACATTTCATTTGATGTTTTGTTTTCTTTCGCGTTTTGTATTACTTAAACCTAAATTTAAATTATATTTAGTAACAAATAATTAGTTTTATTCACAAACAAATGAAATAATTCTATGTTCGACACAGACACTTACACACCTTAATTTCATTTCGAAGTTATTATTAGTCATGTATGTGTATAAAATATATTACGGTAAATTACCACAGTAATTTACGACACAAATTTATTACCAGGGTAATTAATTTTGGTAATTAAAACCCGTAAATTACCAAAAATATAAATTACGGTAATTTTACATTTACAATTGAAATTATTTTTAAATTGTTGCCTTTTCTGATATATATCTTGCTGTAAAAAAATTATATAGTTTTGGCTCTACAGACCGAGACCTTATCGGTAGCCCACCATGTATTATATTATATATTTGACGTACCATTTAGACTTTTGTATCTGCGTACTAGTATTAAATAATTAAGTAAATTGTAACCGCATAAAGACAACAATACAATACAGATTATACGATTTGCTTTTTAGCAAATTTAATTTATTTTTTTGGTCCCAATGCACTCAAATAATAAAAAAACTTTCAAATAGTGAAAAATCAGTAATTTATGTTTATTTATTCAACAGGCTCATCAATTATTTGAGCAAACACAATTAGAAATAAAAAAAATTACCAAACATATCCATACATACACACACGATTGCCACATTTTCTCTAAAATATCTAGTCCTATGTATGTTGCAAAAAGATTTGTTTTCTCTAAAAATTATTAGAAGAACAAGAACCTTGAAAATATGATAGGAGTTTGGGGAGATTGATTAATCGATACCAATAATTTAGTTTTTGTCTAGGCACAACCTCAACAGGGTGGTTTTGACTTCTTAGACACCGCTCAATCATTTTTATCGGGAGCAATCAAAAGTGGCGCTGCTGCAAATATTCTAAAAGGGTTCATGTCATCAGGATCTGAACCAAAAGGACAGGGATATGCACACCAAAATGCTGTAAGTCTACATTATTTTATGTTTACATGTTAGTACATAGTTAACGCAATGTACAACAGTTCTTTATGTAATAAAAATCTAATACTTCCGAACATATTTTATTAACAAGATTAAAAATTGTCAAAAAATTTCGATGAATGTTACCTGATTGATGACTATTGTGCATTGTCGGAATTATTTTTATAACAACTAACTGCCTATTTTTTGCCTAATAGTCTCGACAAAAGTGCGTTGCATTCATAATTTTTTGGCCTCGTTTTTTCCTTTTGCATTTTGTAACATGACCGCTTTTTGTGTTTCACAAATTAAAATTGAAAGGTTAATTTGAAAAATTATTTAGGAATTTTGAATTTTTTTATTAAATAATAAATAAATATTTAATTTTCTGGTGTTGGGAAAATGAATTAACTAATCAATGCATGCACATATTCATTTTTTAATTAATTTTTGTAAATTTGGTTTACTTCATTTAACTTTAAATTCAGGGTTCGCTACTTGAAATTATTGATTAACTGCGCTTTGTGCTAGATCATTTTAAACGTTTTGAGTGCTGTATTCAAATGAAAAATTAAAAGATATATCACATCTCTTCTTTTAATTTTGACTGGTTATTAAAAATTATTTTTATATAAGATACCATAACCGGAAGGACACGTTTATCTCGATGAATTATTAGGAAAAGTTAATACTTTTTCTTTAAATATTCTCTTTTCCATTCTATAAGTCAATTACCTGAATTATAAAACTAATTAATCTTTCACAACCACAGTTTATGACATGCTTTTCTGCATAGATTTACTAGTTCAAGCAATGAAGCATTTAGGACCAGGGTTACTTGTGAAAAAATGGTATAAAGTTAGAAATTTATATGTACTTTGCTCCAATTTGATGACCTGATGATCCTCTTTCAGTTGCTCCTGTGCAATCTGGCCTGCATTTTTTTAGTGGTGTTTTTGATCTTTTGAGAACACTGCACAAACGGCTAGTCAGACATTAAAAATTCTTGTCCAGTCTTCATCTAGATAATATTTGTGACGAAAAACCCTGTGAGAGTACTACCCTAGTATTCATAGTTTACCCTTTAGACCAGCCATACTCAACCTGCGGCCCTCCAAGCTGTTTTGTGCGACCCTCCAAACTTTTTTGTGCAGCACCAAACACTATTATTAGGAATGGTTGACCTACAGCCGTTTTTTAAAACAAATTGTCCTTGCGTCTTTTCAAAGCTTATTAAATATTTAAAGCGGATCCCTAACGTCACCCATTGTCCTTTATTTACATTTCAAAAAGGTGCCAACTCTAGTTATCACCCAAAAATTTTGTGGCCCGTGCAGCATAACAAGCAGATTTATGTGACCCGAAAGAAAAAGGGTTTAGTACAGCTGCTTTAGAGCGTCCTGAAGGAAGGCATGTCTTGTCGTTGAAGGTCATTCTCTCATGTTTTGCAATTCTTTAATTTCGGCGAACGGATGTTCATATTAAACTTTTTTAAAACCCACCTGAATAAATTAACTTTACAATAGTTTTTTATATGAGTCTATAGCTTGATAATTATTAAGGGAATGGCGAGCGCTCAAAATCGGCTGATGTTAGTAAATTTTATCAAAGTTATCCCTATTTTGTCAATTTCCCTTGAAAACTGAATAGAAAAAATGCTTCCTGACAATCAATCAGAAATTTAGTCTGGTTCATTGTTCCTCAAAGGGTTTATTTTTAATGCGAGTGCTGGTGTATGACTGAGACGTTATTAAAGGCGCTCGGTCGCAGGTCAAGAAATTCGGAAAAAATTAAAAGTAGAGTGCTGAAATTATGCAGGTATACTTAAATGCTCTGTTTCATTGCAGTATTAATTTTTTTGTGTACCAAAAAATACCGAGCACCTCCTGAGGACTTGGTATTAAAATGTCGCATGCCAAAAGTCAATATAGATTTTGTTAGCAACTGTAAAAACAGGAACACTTTTTGTGTACAAAAGTTTTCCAACTAACCATTCGTTCAGCCATAGTGCTTGCGATGTGAAAACAGTGTATAACATGGGAGCATAGCCTTCAACAACAAAGCATGCCTCTCTTCAGGACGTTCTAAAGGGTAAATTATAAATACTAGGCCAGTACTCTAGCGGGTTTGTTACTAATATCTTCTCAAAATAATTGAAATATAAAATAAACGTGCCAGAAAGTGAAATTTCTATACCAAAAGTGACATTTCTGTGCCACAAAATATATTTCTGTACAGTTGCATATATTCTTAACAAAACTCACACACAACCATTGCTGTCTAAATTACCCACACACACATACTACATTGCTAGACAACCAACCGCTGTTTATCGAGTCGCCTGAATATGTGTCTGCAAACATAAAAAATAGTCATGGATAATCATATTAACTGTGAAATAAGAATGTTACTCAGCCATAATCTATGTACGTTTTTTAAATTTCACTTTATCATCATGTAGAGTAGAAAAGAGAAGTTTAGATACAAATTAGATTTAATTTTTTTTTTATTAATATTTCATTTAGATTTACGTCTCCAATGTAAAGTACCTTTTTTCTGTATTTGTTCCATAAAAAGTAATTGCAAATCAACATTTAAGGAAGGTACTCAGGAAGTTAATTAGTGATTTCAAAATTTTAATTACCTCTTCTCACAAATTTTGTATTATCGACTACTGTTTTAAATTCATCCTATTTATTCATTTATTTTCAAAAGTGTTACATCCGTATTCTGAATTTGGAAAATACAGATGTACTTTTTAGTTTTAAATTAAAACAGTTCATACAAAATTCTTATAAAATTAATTTAGTAGTTGGGCAAATATTATTATTTGTGGTGGTGTGACATCAACATTCATGTAGGAAGTATTTAAACTAAAGTGGTGTATAAACTCATTTAAAATTATAATCGAATGAATAGTTTAATAGAAATGAAATGTGCGTTAGGCAAAATGTAGGCGTTCGTTGTCGAAAAGCTAGTGCATTTACAACACTTTCATTCTTAGAAATATGGAATATATCCAGACCTCCCTCAAGACACGAATTTAAATATAAATCCAAACAACCAACCCAGCCCTGTCGAAAAGCTACTTTCAGGTTTACTTTCTGGTGGTAATAACCAACAACAAGCTCCTGGAACCAATCCGCAAGGTCAACAAAATCAACAAGTCGATATTGGTGCCCTCCTTACGAATTTATTAAGTAGCCATCAGTCAAGTCAAGCAACACCATCCCATGGGGCACCACAAACAAACGCTCCAGGCGCCCAACAAGGTGGCGATATTGGTACTCTCTTAACATCATTATTATCCGGTGGCAATCAAGGTGGAAAAACTGGATCACAAGGACAAACTGGTACTCAAAGCACACAAGGAGGTCCAGATTTAACCAACCTTTTATCTGGTCTTTTGTCTGGCACTGCCACTAGACCTTTGCAAGAAAATACTGGTAGTGGTGCTCGTCATCCATCCACTGGAAGTACCCAATCTCAAGGTCCTGATTTAGGATCGCTACTATCGGGTTTGCTTTCCGGTGGTTCCCAACAGAATCCTCCTGGTCCCCCGGGTTACCAAAGTCCCCCAGGGTACCAAAATCCCCCAGGGTACCAAAATCCTCCTGGATATCAAAATCCTCCTGGGTACCAACAACCACCAGGTGGTGGTCAACATTCTCAAGGCGGGATTGATTTGGGTTCTTTGTTGTCTGGATTGATGTCATCAACTGGAGGAACTCAACAGCCTGGAGGTTATCAACAACCTGGTGGGTACCAACCCCCAAGGACAGGAGGTGGTGGCTCTGCTCCACCTAGAGACACACCTATTTCTCATCCACCAAGGACTGGTCCAACTCGCACACAGAATCCCGCTAAACCTGGTGATGATATTGTTGATGTGACTGATGATTTAGAGAGAGAAATGGGCCGTACAGCAGCAGGTGGCGTTACTAGGCAAAGGCCTCAGAGTGGTCCAGCTGATGAGGTAGGTAAACAAACAGGGTGTTAAGAGAGATTGTTATATGCTTTTTAACTGTTTAATCGATGCTTCTGGCTTAATATACGATTTATTCATGTAAATAAATAATTAAGGTAGGTACCCATTTTCTTACTCTTTATGTAATTACTTTAAAAAATGAGGTTATTAGAATAATTTAAGAGTTATTGAAAAATGATTCGTTACTTCCTTGATAAATATATAAACTCTTCTAATACTTGATACAAAAAAATGGAGTGTCCAAATTTATGAAAACAAGTCTGTATATGTGATTATCACTACTTGTTAAAACAGCTACCCTCCAATTACGATTGGCGGAACTCCAGTACAAGTCAAACTTGACGTCAAATACCATATGTTTAGCATTGTCAAACTGCCAAGTTTACTAGAGACCGAGCGTACAGTACGACAGATATAACTGAGGTCGCCAAGATATGCGCTATGAATAGAAAAGTGGAGTTCACTACGAGGTAATCACTTGGATCTTAATACATTATAGTCGAAAATGTGTATTTTGAGACGTTGCCAAATATAAGTGCCTTAAAACTCGCGTTCTGAGTGTACGAGCTGTTTTGAAATTTACGCAGCAGAATGCAGATGAAAATAAACCTTTTATCGAATTTCATAAAGTACAAGAACGAGTAGCTGCATTCATAGGTAAAGCAAATACAATAAATTTCCTACCTCTCTACAAAAACTACTTGATATAATTGTTGGTTTATAATTTAAATAAATACTTTAGATTATAATTGAATACTCTTATCTTTTTTTAATAATACTGTAATCCTTTTTTTGGGTCATACTTGCGTGATAATCTTTAACCAGCATTGCCCACCGAAAATTTAAACCAAACAAGGATTTTACTAATCACGTCCCTTTCAGTATGATTAGTACACCCATAATAAATATAATATAAATGTTTATCCATTTTACCGTTTCAATATTCTACGTAAGCAGAACTACAGCGTCTGTTATTCCTGTCGATATGTACCTGCCTTACTCATAAAATGATAAGCCCTTTACAAATGTATGCTGCCTACCCAAACAATCTCATAACGTTGTATAGAAAAGTTCATAATAGATATATGTCCATTGAACCCAATACTTAACACTAAACATGAAACCACTGATCTGTAATATTGACTGGATATGATATAGTCGACTAAAAAGCGTTTTTGGACAAACAATATGACGAACAGGATGTTATTTAACATAATCTGCAATTCAATTTGTCATTTTATCTTATGTAAATAATTACGATAAAGTGAGTTTTTTTTTTCTGGAAAACAACACTTTCTAGGTAGGGAGTTTGAATAAAAATCTGGATATTTTTTTTAAAGAAATATATATTAAATAAAATACATAAACTTCTGATACACGGTCACGAATTGTTCCCAGCACCTCCTAATATTCCCGATTTCTGAATAAAGATATAAGCTATGGGAAATTAGTACAATTAGCGTCTCGACGTGTAGTCCATAGGGACACGGGACAAAACCTCCGACATAGCTAAACTGATCCGTTAAAATAGGGACGTCTGGCAACCCTATTGTAGCATAGATTATAGATGTAGTGGCTGGAAATTGAGCAAAGTTTAGAAGACCAAAGGTTAGGTTATGTCAAATTACGATATAAATTTATTATTAAAATTTAATATTTTGTAGTCTAACGAACATAGAAAACATTTCTTAGCAGTTTTAATAGTAATTTGTAAATCTTACAAATTAAAAAAAAATTGAATACAATCTATTTAATATTTTTATTGTCTTTCAAATTTGCCCGCCATAATTTGCCCAAATGGTCTAATTCATGGTACTTCCGGTCCCCTTGTTGGTACAAATTTTCACGATGTTATACCTGTATCCTATTTAGTGAATATTACAGATCAGTGCATGAAACTGATTATAGATCTACACCTAAGTCAAAGGGTAACTTAGGTACTTAGGACAAACATATCCAAATGGTATGACATGACTAGACATCAAATCCAAGCAAATGTACTGGCTAATTGAACGTAATTCAAACTGTCAACTAAAAACAAGCAGCTGTTAATAAAGTAAACTTATCCTATTTTACTTCCTTATACCTCTAACAAGTTATTCCATTGTTATCGAGTGTTTGTCAATAACGGCAGCTTACTGGAGAGTGGTCTCAGGTTGTTCTAACAAACCTATCTCTGATCATTTTCTGATATACTTAATCCTTTCTGTTATCCTGCTCTTTGTCCGTTCATAAACATTCTCAACTTGAGCCTTGATGTCTTGAGTTTCGAGTCTCTTCAGTGTTCTTCTACAAGTAGTCTAAGGATTTTCGTATCTGAGGTTTCCAGAGTTATCTTTTTTTATGTCTTCCTCGTTTCAGGTCTTTTCCATGCTGAATGATCATGCTTGATCTGTTTTGTAGATTCACTGTTTGTTGCCATTTGTAAGTGTTAAGTTCATTTATCACGTTCAGTAGTTTTACTTATACCCTGTATAAGCCTATTTTTAGTTTTTTATTTTGACAATTTGTAACAAATGATAATTGACGTTTAGAATGATTAAAAATGTTACATTTTGCATCAGAATTTTAAATTCCTTTTCAAACATCCCATTTTATAAAGTCTTTCATTGGCAGTGACCTCTTAAAACGGCAGACAGACACAGTAGGTTTTTTTGATCCCATATTGTTCTACTTTTGTATCTAATTTTCTTTGAGGCTAATATCAATTTCATATCATTTCCAATTTACATCCGATTGGTTCCACACCGATTACTAGTTATTTGATTTTTTTGATGAAATCGTCAGTCGAACTATTTGATATAAATTGCATATTGTAATGAAACGTCGAAACATATAACACACTATTCACAACATTTTTTTTTTCCAAGGCGAAAAATAATACATTGTAAGAAAGACAATCCGATATTATACTCTGATTATATATTTACATTACAGGATTATATTCTACTTATAAATTCGTAAAATTAGAATATAATGGTTTTTAAATGTTTCTACACTTTGTGTTTAGTCGTGATCTAAATAATGGTTAATTAATCAGCGGACTGTAAAACTGAATGAATATACACGACTTCACTTCTTTATTGCTAAGAATTGTTTACAATATTGAAAATTAAATTGAGGTTACAAAAAACGTGTTACATGAACATAAAACAAAATGCAAGTGTCCAGTCAACGGGCGGTCGGCGAATGTTTTTACACATCACGGTGTGGGGATGGCACTCTCCGCGGCGTTGTCACGTTGTAGTTGAGACGGAACATCCTCCCGGCCCTTGAAAGACTTCTTTCAAGCGAAAATCAAGACTCTGCTTTGGGCAGAGGGCATATTTTGGAAAATGCTCTCTTTAACCATCCACTCTTAGTACGGATTGTGGCGACTCTGGATATTCCATCTTTGCCTGGATGGAGAGATACGATTCTACCAAGGGACCAGCGAAAGGGAGGTAGATTTTCTTCTTTGATAATGACTAAATCGTTTTCCTTAAGTGTACCATGATTGGTACGCCACTTAGTGCGTTCTTGCAAGCCTGAGACGTATTCTAAGGACCAACGTGCCCAAAAATGTTGCTGTAGCTGCTGAATTCTTTCATAATGTTTAAGGCGGTTTTCTGGTATGGTTAGCAAGCTTGAGTCAGCAATCGATGTCAGTGGACGACCAAGAATAAAGTGAGATGGGGTAAGAGGAGTCAAATCGGATGGGTCTGAAGAAATAGGGTACATGGGACGCGAATTCAAGATTGCCTCGATTTGTACTAATAAGGTGTATAACTGTTCAAAGGTGAGTAACGCATTTCCTGCAATTCTAACTAGGTGGTGTTTCATCGATTTCACACTTGCCTCCCAGAGGCCGCCAAAGTGTGGAGCATGGGCAGGAATAAAGGACCAAGCAATTCCTTCATTTTCTATAGTTTCAGTTAAATTATTGACGTTATTCTTGAGAAAAATGCCAAGATCGTGGAGTTCATTATAGGCCCCGATAAAATTCGTGCCATTGTCGGAGTAGACACGAGATGGTTTACCTCTTCTAGCGACAAAGCGCCTGAAAGCGGCTATAAAAGATTCCGACGACAAATTTGGTACTAATTCTATATGCACTGCATGAGTGGTGAAACAAACAAATATACAGACGTAAGCCTTAGTGACCTGACATCCGCGACCTTGCCTAGCCTTAACTCTGAATGGGCCCGCATAATCTACACCGGAAACGAAAAACGGTGGCGAAGGGTTAATTCTAGTACCTGGAAGATCTCCCATAAGGGGGGTCGTTATAGAAGGTTGTGCCCTGAAGCAAGTTATACACTCGCGCACGACCTTTCTAGCTAAGTTACGACCGTTTAAAGGCCAATATTCGTATCGAATGTTCGCTAATAATAATTGGGGTCCGGCATGCAATAACCTTTTGTGTTCTAATAGAAACAGATTTCTAGTAAATCGAGACTTAGAATCTAACAAAATCGGATGTTTTTGACAAATAGGGAGGTTTGAATTGGTTAATCTCCCGCCAACTCTTAAGATACCAGAGTTATCTAAGAAGGGATTCAGCTTTAGGATTTTACTTGTATTATCTAACGGTTTTTTATCGCGCAACTGACTAATTTCCCTTTCAAAACATAGACCTTGAGACATTTTAACTAAGCATAAGTTAGCGCCTTTAATTTCCGCACTGGTCAAAGGGCCACGTTTTCGTTCATTAGCGGAATTTAAACTATTTGTTTTAAAGCGTAGACAGTAGGCGATAATTCTTCGAGTTTTAGTTAAATCAAAAAAGTTTTCAATTATGTCTAAGTGTTGTATAGTAGCTTTATGAACCGCGACAACCTTTTTGATATCTGGTAAGATCGTTTGTTTTTCTGGCATTGTCGGCCATAACTGGTGAGACTGTTTTAGCCACGGTGGCCCGTTCCAATATATGTCAGTAGTTTTAAGCGAGCTTGGCGAGATACCTCGAGACACACAATCAGCGGGATTTTCATTGGTAGGTACATGACGCCAATTTTCAACACTTGTTAATTCCTGAATGGCCGCAACGCGATTAGCTACAAAAACCTGAAGTAGGTTTACAGGTGTGTTTATCCAACCCAAAACGATGGTCGAATCTGTCCAATAAGTGACACGGTTTACCTGGAGTTTCAAAGAAATAATTACTTTGTCAACTAATCTGCACATTAGTAAAGCGGCAATAAGCTCCAGACGTGGGATTGTTTGAGTTTTTATAGGTGATACTTTAGATTTAGCACAAACCAAATGAATGAATGTTTTAGCATCAGAATTTTCGGTTTTTATATATACACAAGCTCCGTAAGCTACCATCGATGCGTCTGAAAAACCGTGAATTTCTATTGAAATGGCATTTGAACAAACTATTTGTCTTGGTATGGCTAATTCATTGAAAGATTTAAGACCGTCGCGAAATCGAATCCATCGTGTGTGTAAACTGGAAGATAGAGACTCGTCCCAATCAAGTTTTTCGACCCAAATATCGCGTAAAATCAATTTGGCTAATATGATGGACGGACTTAAAAATCCCAAAGGATCGAATATTTGTGACGTTTCTGAGAGAACCGTGCGCCTTGTAACTTTAGTTGTTGGCTCAATCGAAATTTTATACAAGAAGCAATCAGTCACGGCGTTCCAAATTATACCAAGGGTTTTAGCGTTTTCGTTTACGCCGAGATCCATGAACTGCGTACCATTAGATGAATTTATAAGCCCTAAAACCTCTGAGCTATTAGACACGAATTTGCGTAACTGAAATCCCCCACTCTTCAAAATTCTAACTACGTCGTTTGCAATTTGAGCCGTTTCCTCTACGGTGGAACCCCCAGTTAACATATCGTCAACATAAAAGTTGTGTTTAATGACTTCCGAAATTTGCTCATTCGCACACTCGACTCCTAACTGATATAAGCAGCGGATGGCTAGAAATGGCGCTGAAGACGTTCCGTATGTTACTGTGGTCAGTTCGTATGTATCTATTTCGTCACTGGGGTTATCCCGCCACAAAATTCTTTGCAATGGTCTCTGAGATGGTTCTATTTTGCACATCCGGTACATTTTTTCAATGTCCCCTGCAATTACGAAATTGTGCCGTCTATAGAGCAATAAAATCGAAAACAAATCTGTTTGTATGGTCGGCCCAACTATTTGGAGATCATTGAAAGAATAACCGGTACTAGAAGGACACGATGAATCGAATACGACCCTCAACTTCGTAGTTAGGCTGGAATCCTTTACTATCCCGTGGTGAGGCATATAGTATGTAGTTTGTGCATTATCCGGTTTAGTGACTTTCATCATGTGACCTAAATCGCGGTATTCTTTAAAAAATCTATGATAGTTTTCTTTAAATGATGGGTTTTTACCGAACTTTCGCTCTAAATTCAGAAAACGTTTTTGTGCAGTTTCACGAGAATCCCCAAGAACCTCGGGATTATCTTTAAGAGGTATGGTAACTATAAATTGCCCGTTTTCGTCACGTTTTGTTGTATTAATAAAATGTGATTCTGCCAATTTTTCTTCGTTTGACCAAGCCTTTGTGTTAGGGAACTCCTCGATATCCCAAAAACGTTCTAATTGTTTTTCTATTTCGGTATTTCTAGACAAATTACAACGAACGATATTAGATGTATTAGATTGTATGGGACCAGCCACGATCCAACCAAATCGAGTTTTTTGTAACACAGGACCGTAACTACCTAATTTAATTTGTCCCACACTAATAATTTCCCAAAAGTAGTCAGCGCCTATCAAAATATCTATTTTACCGGGAATATTGAAATTAGGATCCGCTCATTGTATGTTGCTCGGTATCTGAAGGTTTTTAGTTTCTATTTGGTAGTTAGGTAAATTTCCAGTTATTTGAGGAATTACGAGACAGGACATGTTGAATGAAAATGTATTAAGAATAGATTGAACGTTTAAATTAGTCTTAAATTTGATTTGAGAATAAGTATCATTCAATCCACTTACCAGTAAAGTGGTATTATTTTTCTCTAAATTTAAACGCTCGCAAAGATCAACGGAAATAAAACTACTTTGTGAGCCAACATCTAATAGAGCACGTGCTTTGTGAAATGTGTCATTTTTATCACGAACATGAACTAATACAGTGGATAAAATAACTTCACTAGGGCTGTTTAAATGAGAAGATAACACAACCGTTTCAGTGTTCTTAGTTACTTGCTGGCTAGAACTGGCTTCAGGACCCTCAAGTGGGGCTTTATCTATATGAAGAAGTGTATGATGACGACCCCTACAACGTCTACATGGTCCCGATCTACATTGCCGTATGATGTGTCCAACCCTCAAACAATTAATACAAAGACCCTTTTGTTTAACGCGTTCAAGCCTATCACTAACGCCTAACTTATTGAATTCAGGACAATCATTAATAAAATGCTGATTCTTACAAAAACTGCAACTAATATTAAAAACTGTACTCAAATTTCCATTAGAAGTTACTAAAGATTTTATTTTGCTCGATTTGAACTCGTGTTTTGGTTTTAAATCGACTTTTTTGTTTGTAACAGAGCTGACTGCAGCCTTTGCAGCTTTATTTCTTTCTATAGATAACAATAATCCCGCGCGTCTATCTAAATATTCACTAAAATTCGTAAAAGTTGGTCGATCATATTTAAGTTTGATTTCTTGTCACTTCGCGCACGTATCGTCGTCAAGTTTTGAAAGCATTAAGAAAATAATAAAGGTATCCCAATGTTCTGTTCGCTCACCTAAAGTGTTTAGCGCCTTTAATCTATTAGAGGTGCTATCTAGAATTTTTCTAATTCCCGATGACGTCGCTACTTCGATTTTCTCTAAGTTAAACAACTTTTCTAAGTGATGTTGCGTTAAGTCAGTCGAATTATTGTATCTTTTGCATATAGCCGCCCACGCATGTTTATAGTTTTCACTAGTATAGTCTAAACTACCGATATGTTCAAAAACAGTATGCGCAATATTACTTCTAAGATGATGAAATTTTTCAATATCAGTTATAGTAGTGCGTTGGTTGATGAGTGATTCAAATGTATCGCGAAATTCCGGCCAAGAATCTAAGGAACCGTCAAAAAACTTTAAATTTATTTCAGGTAATCTAATTTCCCTAAAGGATACACTATTTTCTAGATGTGGCAACGCCGCGGATGTCTTTGGCTGGGCTTCACTTCTATCTCTATCATTTTTTGTGCTTTGGTCGTCTAACCCCGCGCCATTACTGTTGGCGGCACCCGCTTCGGAACCTCCGCCAACATTATACGCTTCGGCGTTCTCGCTAGCTACGATAAACTCTCTACCTATCCCTATGCAAGCATAATATTCTGTGTTGAATTTTTCTCTGATCGGTACCTCAGATGGTACGTCAACAAAATCAAATTGTTCAATTTCTAATTGTAACTCCTCAAAATCTTCTAGAACATTGGCGAATTTCTGAAGTCTTTCTTGCAAATCAAAATAAACAGCCAAATCAGTAATAGTTTTATTGCTATATTTAATATCTAAAGTGTCTAAAAATTTAGTAAAAACAGTTAATTTTGATTTGAGAGAAGCTCGTTTTCGTTTTAATTTTTCGTATGATTCTCGATCATCTTCTGCCATTGCAAAAACACTATTTACTTATTGAAATGATTATACGAAATCAGAGAATCACCACACACTTCGATTATGAATTTATGAGAAATTAAAATTATGTTTACTAACAAAACAAAGCAATCTAGATTCAACACAGGAATAAGGAATATAAAGATAGTATGGAAAGAACTCACCCACTTGGTCAAATTGTTTTTCACTCAAACTCAAGCACGTTTCACTGTTTCTGGAAAGTTTTTAAACCAATATCAAAGATGTCTAATTCTAGTGATCCGCTCGATATGGACCAAAATGTTTAGTCGTGATCTAAATAATGGTTAATTAATCAGCGGACTGTAAAACTGAATGAATATACACGACTTCACTTCTTTATTGCTAAGAATTGTTTACAATATTGAAAATTAAATTGAGGTTACAAAAAACGTGTTACATGAACATAAAACAAAATGCAAGTGTCCAGTCAACGGGCGGTCGGCGAATGTTTTTACACATCACGGTGTGGGGATGGCACTCTCCGCGGCGTTGTCACGTTGTAGTTGAGACGGAACACTTTGAAATGATAAATTTGTAACTCTTGAAGCTATCACCATTGAGCAACTCTTCATCACGCTTGGGAAACCATTTTATACGTTTTTCAAAATATCAACGTTTTATATTAATTGATTTTAAATGGAATTGGTTTAGAGTTCTAAATATTATCGGTTATTGATTCGAAGACAAATTGCTGTTAAGAAATAATGAAAACAATTTTTAAACAAAGTGAAAATATATTTATTGAAAAAATGATGCACAGAAAAGAATTATTGCGAGTTTGATGACCCACTCAGACCGTGACCAGGCCATCAATGCTGGGGACAGAAATGTTTTCAATTTCTCAATAAACCACTAATCGGCATCGTCTAAGGAAACATGCATGTACTCCCTTATGTCGCCTGTGTAAATACGCAACAATGTAGATATATGCATAAATAGAATTGAAAAAATATGTATAAAATTTGGTTTCTCTTTGGGGATTTAAAAATAGTTTTCATTATTTAGTAAGGGTAATTTTGAAAAATATATTTATGAATTTCGAAAGAATTTATATATTATAATTGTTTAATTTTTCAGCAATATGGTTATTATCCTCATCCTCCTCAGGACCAGAGGGGACCACTTGAAAATTTGCTTTCTGGACTACTGTCTGGAGGAGGAGGAACTGCTCCTCAAGTATGTATTAATGTTTTATATTTTTTTATTTAAAAAAATATTTGTTCTGCACGCTTTTAGTATTTACTGTTTTTGTTTTCTGAAGAAAAAACACTCTTTGTATTATACAGATCATCTTTATGTAAAAAATAAGGGAAAATGGCAGGAGATACACAATAAGTTCCATGGAACTAGTAATTGGTGGATGACTTAAATGATACATTAGATTAATCTAAACAGAAAAAAGGTGTTAGTAGAATACTAAATACTTATAACGTTTCCGTAAATATAATAGGTAATGATAAAATTGTACGAGACCAGCAGTAGCAAATACGACAAATCTGTAGGTACTTGGAAACCGTTTTACTCAATGTAGAAGAATTTAATGCATAGAATAAGAACCGTACACTAGGAAAGAGAGGGGACACATAACTACGAACTCCAATATGCGACCGTTTGGCACCAGATCTTAAACGTATACAAAAATATATTTCTTTGTCTAAGCTATAGACAGTGGTGTAACCAGAAATTTATTAAACAATGTCTCAGTTTTAATAACCCGAACACTTTTTCTTTCTAACTACTTCAGAGGAAGTCTTATTGAAGAAAATTCCTATTTTGTAATAATAAAAATAATAATACTTGTTATGGGTTAAAAGATTTTATATTTGGCATATAGGAATAAAAACAAAATTACTTCTCTTCTTAAAAATAATTTATTATAAATCATAAATTGACATATTTTTAAAACCGAGTTGTAAATATGAGTAGTTAATGGTCAAATTTTAGTCTTCTTTTTCTTCCTGGTTCTCATCAAGAACCACAGAACTTATTAATTAGATATATAATTATTTTAAATTATCATATGGCCAACCTTATATATCAAATTACACTAGAATTAGCTGATAAACTCGGTATTAAGAAAAAAAAACTGACAGGTTTTTTTTTCAAGCTTTCTTTTGAAAAGCACGTTTTCAGAGGAAGCTTGCTCTCGCATTTTTGCGGATTTTTCACAAAGAAAAAGTTTATTTGGAAGATTATTTTGTTTAGGAAACATAAACAAGACTCTACTTTTGAGGATAGAAAAATCCATATAACTTTTTCGATTTAATTACCGCTTCTTTGGAAGCCACATTTGGCCCCATACCACCTCAGGTAGGTTTAAAATATAGTTTGGATATAAAATTAGTTAAAATAATAATTCTTACATCATTTTACATAAAATAAATCATTATTTTAGGCCTTTTATTGTTAGTTTATTTAACTAGCTCATTTACAACTTAAATAGGTATAGTATAACCGTGTCAAGGTATACCTACCTCTGGCTACCTAGTAAACCTACTCATGTCAAGAGTCATAGTATAATAATTGGAAGTAAATTGTCTCTTGCTGTAGTATGGATGTTTAGCTGCAGAACCATCCTTGAATCCACTCTGTACTGTCAAATGGTGATGGAAATTGTGTACATATTGAATGGAAAATACGGAGGATCCCTGGAAGTTACAGATAAGCCTTAGACATAAGTTTGAAAATTAAAACTCAAAGATATAATTTATTTAAAATAATCAATTGCCTTTTACACTTAATTTCATTAATTTTTCCGGTAATTTACACTCACTTTGTAAAGCAAATCTTCTAGAAGTGCCGCTAAAAGCTCTGTATCTAAAGGGCTATTTTGTTTGTTTTAACCTAAAAAAAAAAAAGAATCACATTAGTAAAAATAATTATATGATATAGCAACAAAAGACTTACCTCAACCCCAAATCTTTGACATATAATCCACTTTAACTCATTTGTGTTAAATATAGAAAAGAAAAGTAATCATTGTTTATTATTGTACTACTCGAACCCAGAATCGTGAATTTTCTTTAAATATACGAAAGAAATATATAACAAATTGGCGCCCAACGTGTTTTAAATACTTTTCTTCTTACTTTTTGCAAAGATTTGGGGAACTTCAGGTGGTTTTCCATAATTTCCATAATATTTTTGAGATATTTTGTGTTGTTTTCAATGATTTGGTTTATTAACCTACAATTTTGACACTGTCAAGTCAATGTCAGTTGTCTCCAATTCAGTACCATTTAACATCATTTGACAGACACAATCGATTGTGAATCGATTTAGGCATTTCCTAGCGTTACGGTCGGAAATAATATTGGGATAGGATTAATGACGTCAGATGACAATTAGTTTTTGGGATCCTGTTTTTATTTTTATAGCAGCGAGATAGCGTTTACATAAGCGCAGTTTATAAGCATAGATAGATATATTTTTTTAATTTTTTTGGTTTTGGGTTAGGTACTTTCGCTGTACCGATTTTTTAGTTAGGTAGGTTCTTATTTATTTTTTTTTTCTTTTTTTTTTAATACCCAAGCGTGGGGTTACCTTTGCTATACTACATATTAAATAATTCTATAATACACAACTTAGAATATAGTGATTAAATAATTTTGGGATCCATAATTGGAAAAATTTTGCCATGGAATATAAGAGGCTGTTGGGTGATGAGGTCACCTATGAGTTACTGATTAGGAATTATCCCATAGAAGGAACGGTTGCTCAGAAGCGATCATTATTGAGTGAAGCTCTTAGATTAGAACGGGAAGGGGAACGCGAGCCACCAACTTCAGTAACTTTAGATTCAAACGCGGAGATGATAACGTGTGAATGCAAATTAAGTGATTTGTCTGAAGATATTGACAATTTTAATGAAGCCAATAAACATAACGAATTCAAAAGAATTTATTCGCGTTTAATTCATTTAACATTACGATTAGAAAGATTATCATGTGACTCGGGCACGATAGAGAAATGTTCTTATTTGAAAAGCGTTTGTAAAGAATTAGAAACGAAAGTTAAACATATTTATAATAATTTGAATACGGTTAGTGCTGAGCGATCTATACTGGACGAACCAAATATTTTACTTCCGAAAGTTTTACATAGGTCAAACCGAGATAACACGATCGAACATATCGTTTCATTTGCTTCTCATGATGGGAGTGAGATATCGGAAGTGGGAGATGCTCGTCAGGTATCTATTAACCCCATTACGTCTACAAATACGGTTTTATCTGTTGATCGTGGCTTATCTAGAGTCTCGACGTTACGAAATTTTTTTGAAAGTACTAATGATTTAGGTGGAGGAGGAAACCCTCCTAGGGTTCCGATTATATCTACGTGTACTAGCGCTGCTTCTTACCAAAACGAGAGGCATATTCAGACAACTTGTGTTGGATCGAGTTATACTCCTTCATTATTGCCAGTTTACACTCAATCATCATTTCCTTTGCCTACACTTTCTCATGCCGCATACGGGGAACCTATTTCGTCTAATATTGAAAATCTGACGCTAAATACTTTTTCCCTGGGACAAACTTCCTTTAATTCACTTCGAGCAAATCCATCTATTTACTCAAGCGGTAATAGACCCCAAAATTACCAACTGGCTGGTGACAATCCTATTAATTACCGATCACCTGCAGTCCCACAAAGCGAACTTTCAGATATTTCTAGATGGCCTGTTAAATTTGATGGGGTAGGTAGTGTGACGAGTTTTCTGGAGCGTATCGAGGAATTACGAGTGTCTCGCGGTGTTTCAAAGGAACGCTTATTGCGATCCGCTGCAGAACTGTTTACAAAGGATGCGCTGTTGTGGTTCAGAATGAGTCAGTTTTCTTCTTGGGAAGAACTGATGCAAAAATTGCGTGTAGACTTCCAACCATATGATTATGAGAATGCGTTATGGGAAGAGATACGCCACCGAACCCAAGGTGCACAAGAAAAAGTAATCATTTTTGTATCGGTGATGGAAAATCTTTTTCGGAAACTGTCTGTTTTCCCATTGGAGTCTGCTCGGATTCAAATTATAAAAAGAAATTTTTTGCCTTACATCCAGAGACAATTAACTACGCATTCTATCAACTCCATACATGATTTGATTCAGATTGCTAAGATGATAGAGGAAACTGAGGTCCGGACTCAACGGTTTTGTCCTCCACCGGTGACTACTCGACAGTTAGTTGAACCGGAACTGGCTTATCGTAAACCCTCTAATCCCATCTTTTCAGTTAGTTCTAATGATAACACTACACCCATATTTGAAATAGCTAGAAGTATTGGTTGCTTTAATTGTGGCGAAGCTGGTCACAAATTTAGGAAATGTGGTAAACCTAGAAAGGTATTTTGTTTTCGTTGTGGAAAACCAAACACAGTGAGTACATCGTGTTGTGCAAAAAACGCTCGAACCCCTCCACAATAGGTCGTGGAATGGAGGATGTTCCTAATGTTATACCGACCACCCACTCTAAAGACTTTGCCGTCTTGAATTTCATATTAGCCCATGCAAGAGGTGATCAACGACCCTATTTAAAAGTAAGGATCTTAGGGAAAGAATTTCTTGGACTCTTGGATAGTGGAGCCTCTAGAACAATTTTAGGTGGTCCAGGGTGGCACATATTAAGCAAAGTGTGCTCACTGAATTCCGAAAGTCGAGTAACATGTACCGTGGCAACAGGACAAACTTGTGTAAGTTTAGGATCCTGTTTACTTCCTATTCAGTTGGAAGACAGGGTTTCAGCAATTAATGTTCTGGTTATACCTTCCCTACCTCACAAATTAATTCTTGGGATCGATTTTTGGGTTACTATGGAAATTATTCCGGATATGTATACTGGGCAATGGAGTTTTAGGAAAGACGATAATATCGATAGTATTGATGCGGCTGGTATCCGAGATGTTGAGTCTTTGACAGTTGAACAACGAAATACTATGGATAATTTATTGGACCAGGCTTTTAAGGGTATGGACGGGAAACTTGGTGGTACACATCTTGTCGAACATGTTATCCATACAAATTCCCCTCCCATCAAGCAGAGATACTACCCTATCTCTCCTGCTTTACAAAAAGATGTGAATGCAGAATTGGAAGACATGCTGAAGAATGATATAATTGAGCCATCGAAAAGCCCATGGAGCTCTCCAATTGTCATGGTGAAGAAATCAGATGGTAGGTGGCG